TTGGCTGCGTGTGCGCGTGTGCCTGGGGAGGACCACTGTGTGAGGATACAAAGGCAGCTGATTTGCTTTCCCAGGTCTGGCTACGAGCAGGACATTGAGTTTGGAGCCCGGCTACCACAGGAGACGTGTGAGGGTGAGTTGGTGTGCGGTGTAATGTCCCGGTGACCTCTCTCACTCCCTCACGTTTTCTCTTACCCTCAAACGACGTCATTTCTGAAAGGAAACCTCTCTCTGTACATTTGTGAGTGGTTCGCTCTCTCCCCTCCTGTTCAAGCCTCGCTCCGTCTCCCTGTATCAAACGCAAGGACTGTTAATATTTATTATTTATGGATGCATCCACGTCCTAATAATAGTCATCCTCGCGTTTGATACAGCGCCTTATCGTGTCTTCGAGACGTCTCAAAGCGCTTCGCGGGATACACCGTTGAGCGTAGTGACTATCGCAGAGAGAGAAAGAGAGTCGGGTGTCTGTGTATGTGTATCTCGCTCAGTGGCGTGTGATCCTTTCTTGCTCCCTTTCTCTCTCTGTGCCCGTGTGTGTTTTGCTTGTCCATGTGTGTCAGTCAATCCCACGACTGTTTGTGAGATGTTGCTGCATTCAAATTGGCTGCCACCTTCGCCTGCAAATACACAGTCACTACACTTTACGATAAAAATGCTGTGAAGTAGTAAGGCGTTAAATCAAATACAATAATTATATAAATCCGGTCAGATCTTTGTGGCTTTCTCTCTCGCTCTCTCTCTCTATATGTATATATATATATGTGTGTGTGTGAGTGTGTATCTATAAATATGTGCACGTCTCCGTTTCTATCTATATCTCTCCTTCTGTCCACACTTCTCTGTGTGTGTCTGTGTCCCTCTCTCTCTTCGTGTCACTGTGTGTGTGAGCGTCTCAGTCAATCTTACTTTCTATCTGAGTATGTGCGTGTGTCTCTCTGTCAATATGTGTGTGTCTGTCTGTCAGTCTCTCTCGGTTTGTCTGACAGTCAGTGTGTGTACATGTCTCTCTCTGTGTCACTGTGTGTGTGTGTGTGTGTGTGTGACTGTTTCCGTCTCTCTGTGTGTGTCAGTGTGTGTCTCTGTCTCTGTGTGTCTCTCTTTCTCAGTGTCAGTGTGTGTCTCTGTCTCTGTGTGTCTCTCTTTCTCAGTGTCAGTGTGGATCTCTCTGGGTGTCAGTGTGTGTGTCTCTCTCTGCGTCAGTGTCTCTCTCGCTGTCTCTCTGTGTCAGGGTGGGTGTCTCTCTGTATCAGTGTGTGCGTCTCTCTCCGTCTCTCGCTCTGTGTCAGGGTGTGTGTGTCTCTTGTTTCTATTCACGCCCCTCTCTCTCTCTCTCTCTCTCTCTCACCAACATTACTTTAAGCTTCCACAAACATTTGCTCCTCGGACAGATACAAACCCCGAGAACCGTATAACACACAGCCGCAGGGGTGATGGGGGGCACAGCCCCGGAGACCCCTCAGATAGCCTCACCTCAGTACCTCTCCAACCTCCAGCTCAGCTCCCGGCTCTATTCCCTCTCCACACACAGCACCAACCGTCGGTGATTCAACACTAACTTTGCTATCAGTAAGTGTGAGAGAAAGAGAAAGCGAGAGAGCGGGCGTGCCCAGATAGGCAGAGTCCAACCCCCAGAATTTTATCCTGGACTTGGCAGAATATAATGATAAGAATCCTGGCATTTGACCCGACGCCTTATCAGGTCGTTGAGACATCTCAAAGTGCATCGCAGGATACACTGTAAAGTGGAATGACTGCGCGTTTTGTGGGCGAAACGCGGCAGCCGATTGCGCCCGGCGACGTCCCCCCAAACAGCCGTGGGTTATTATTATTTTTGAGGGATTATTACCCTCGCCGGGCAAGCGAGAGGACCCGGGTTCGATTCCCGGGCGGGTCAGGTCAGGGCGAAACATTGGGCAAGTTTCCTTACTCCACACACACACACGCAGACACACACACACACGCAGACACACACACACACGCAGACACACACACAGACACCTCTGTTTACCGGCAGTCAGTAGGAATCCGGTCGCTAGCGTTTCCTTTGCACTATATCCAGCAAAGATAAGTCTCCCGTTCGATAAAGCAGCGCCTCATTATCCTCGCGTTTGATTCATCCCGTTGTTGAGACATCTCAAAGCGCTTCGCAGGATATATTGTGAAGTGGACCGACTGTGTGTTTTGGGGGTGAAGAGCCAAGGCTTGGGGGGGGGGGGGGGGGGGAGCCCAGAGAGTGCGTTGGGTAACTGCTGGAGTCTAACCAGCTCAAACTACGCAGCTTGGCCACCGATATCGCGGTCTGGCCAGCGTTCCCGCTGCTTGTCCAGCTGGAGAGATGGTTGTCAGGTCAGGGTAGCAAGGGATATGGGGCAAAGGCGGGTAATTGGAGTTGAGGTACAGATCAGTCACAATCTAACAGAATGGCAGAAGAGGCTCGAGGGGCTGAATGGCCTCCTCCTGTTTCTACAACCATTAGGGCGTTGGCTTGCCCGAGTGGGAGGATGGTATGCCCTTATTATCCAATTGGATCTTGTGAAAGGCGCTATATAAATGTAAATTTGTATTGTATTGTGTCAATGTTACTGTGTTATTTCCGTTACTTGAGACACAATCTTAAGCTCTGCTGTTCCTTACGCACACAGTGATGTGTTGATTCAGCGGAAAGTGTCAAATGGACACTTTTGGGGTCAGTCGGGTGTCTGACACACACGGACACCCGTCACCGTGACCGGCCGGGTGTCTGATACACACGGAAACCCGTCACCGTGACCGGCCGGGGGTCTGATACACACGGACACCCGTCACCGTGACCGGCCGGGGGTCTGACACACACGGACACCCGTCACCGTGACCGGCCGGGTGTCTGACACACACGGAAACCCGTCACCGTGACCGGCCGGGTGTCTGATACACACGGAAACCGTCACCGTGACCGGCCGGGGGTCTGATACACACGGACACCCGTCACCGTGACCGGCCGAGGGTCTGACACACACGGACACCCGTCACCGTGACCGGCCGGGTGTCTGACACACACGGAAACCCGTCACCGTGACCGGCCGGGTGTCTGATACACACGGAAACCCGTCACCGTGACCAGCCGGGGGTCTGATACACACGGACACCCGTCACCGTGACCGGCCGGGTGTCTGACACACACGGAAACCCGTCACCGTGACCGGCCGGGTGTCTGATACACACGGAAACCCGTCACCGTGACCGGCCGGGGGTCTGATACACACGGACACCCGTCACCGTGACCGGCCGGGTGTCTGACACACACGGACACCCGTCACCGTGACCGGCCGGGGATCTGATACACACGGAAACCCATCACCGTTGCTTAAGTGTCTCCAAACCCGACTGAGAATTCCCCACATCCCCCCACTCCTGGGAACCCCCGAGATAAATTGTTGGAATGGGATGCACACACCCTCTCTCTCTCCCTGGAGGGACGCTCCACTGCTTACCTAATTCCAGAAAACATTAGGCGCAGGTTGGCGAGAGCCAAGGCTTGGGGTGGGAGCCCAGAGTGTCAGTCCATCTGTAAATATCTTTCCGAATGCATTTCCTGATACTGTTTCGGAGACACGAAGGGCCCAAAGGGCTGTGGATCTGCAGGGCAATATATACCGTGTTGAGACCTGAACAGCTGATGGGAAGTGAATCAGCCATTGAGAGCTTGTCAACACCAATTCCTCCATTTAATGCACCTGGCAGCTCTCGGCAAGCTCCAACACGGTCCGGGCCCACTGGGTTCTCTAACGCACTGGCAATAACGCTGTGTATTACATAATTACGCACCGTGTGTTCCTGGCAACAGCAGCAACAGCAGCAACATTACATTGGCACAACGCCTTTCACGTCGGGAGGACGTCCCAAGGCCCTGGAGGCAGGAGGGACTCTGGGGTGGAGTTCCAGAGGGTTGGGGCAGAGTGGCTGAAGGTCTGCCCGCCAATGGATATTATATAACAACAATACGATCCGCCAATCGACAGGCAACCAGGTTCCTGCTTACCGCTGGGGAGACAGAGGCATTATATAGAGTGTATCTAACTCGTGCTGTTACTGATCTCCAGGACACCGAGTAGAGGGCATGTTCCCGTGATATCGTTACCTTAACATTGTGTAAATTGTTCCAGTTTAATTGACGTGATGACACGATGTGTAAAACTCTTCCACTCCACTTTCCCCGTCCCCCCTTTTGAGAAAGACGTCATCGTACGATGGGCAGAACAGTCAGACAAACAATTGCCAGAAAACAAACCGACATAATCCACAGAACCAGGCACGAAGGTTTGGCTCGGGGGGGGGGGGTGGGGGGGGGTGTGAGATACAAAAATAAATAGGAGATCCTATCATTCGGAGAGGAGCCAAGTTGTAGTGTAGTGGTGAGTGCCCTCGCCTCGCAAGCCAGAGGACCCGGGTTCGATTCCCGGGCAGGTCAGGGCGAAACCTTAGGCACGTTTCCTGACTCCACACGCACTCACACACGCACACACACGCCTGTGTTACCCAGCAGTAAATAGGAACCCGCTTGTTAGTCGATTGGTGGATCGCTTTCCGGGGGTAATAGTCCCGTCGAAGAAAAATAATGTGGTCACTCAATCCACGACTGTTTGTGGGACGTCGCTGGGCGCGATTGG